GGCATGTCTATGGTATGACTACATTGGTGCCCACAGCGTTCATATTCCATGATGAAGGCATGTCTATGGTATGACTACATTGGTGCCCACAGCGTTCATATTCCATGATGAAGGCATGTCTATGGTATGACTACATTGGTGCCCACAGCGTTCATATTCCATGATGAAGGCATGCACTGTTTAAGGTCAAACTAGCACCAATTCCCTACGTACATGTGAATGGCTGGGGTAGAAAAGCTGCACAGCTGTAAAGATGGTGTCAAGAGTTAGAGCATGTTTATTTTTTCTACTGAAATGCATATGATACAGCAAAGTTCTGCAGCAAATCTTCACTTACATATTAACAAATATGAGGATCTCAGGTTGCATTTAAACATGGTTAAAAACCATGGTTCAAAAATTTATCAATACATCAACTAGTGTGTTTCATAATTGTCGAGTACAGTTGCAGAGATTTGAAGTCATGCGCAGGGAATATGAAGTTTTGTTAAATCTGTACATAACTGTGCCTGCTAGGAGTTGTTTGTTCATTCTTGTGTTTAATGCAGTGATTGCTGGTTCATTCCAGGCCAGTGATCTTCAACGTGAGGTGAACCATAGACGTTTGGAATTGGAATATAGATTTCGTGCCTTCACTGGAGATGCCTCACCCATTCCTTGATCACATTCCTTGATCTTCACTGCTAGTTTGTGTTTGTGCTTTTTTAACGGTTTTGAAAATTGTAATAATATTATAATAATGTATTTATTGTAGAGTTTGTTCCATTTTTGGTATGGAGTGGAGGTACTTTGTGGAGGTTGGGATTAACTGCATTGATGACCAGATGAACAAATGTATGTGTATAACTAAATGCCATTTCAGGTCAGTTTTGAACATTTTCAAAACTTCAAAGTTGGTTCAAATTTGACCATGCAGAATTTGCTTTTATTGCTGTTGACAAATCTGTTGATACCATGTTCATGCTTGAGTGATAAAATTTCTATATGTAACATGTTTGCAGTTTCTTACAGGTATGAGTGTTCTTTGAAATAGATTGTTGATGTATAAATAATGCATTTGAAGTGTGCCAATTTACCAACGGAAACCAGCTTTGGTTTTATTTAAAGATAGGATATGTGCGCCATATGTTCCATTTACATATACACTGTATGTATGTTATGCTGATGGAATGTTGCTCCCAGAAAGCAACAAGCATATACACTGTATGTACATGTACAGTACTTGTGTCTGTAAAACCAAGGTGAAACAAAGAGAAGCCTGGAGAAAGTTGAGGTGAACATGTATTACTTATCTTAATCAATTCAAACTTCCATTGTTGGTTCTATTTGTCCATTGGTTAACTGTTTAAAATAAAACCAGACCATATATCATGGAATTCTAGTTGCATACCGATCCCTGCTTTCCCTTTGCTATTTTATGTGTACAAAATGCAAACTCGCCATTAACATTAACAGTGTCCGTTATATCAAATTTGCAAGTGTTTATTCATCAGTTCAGTGTGTATAAAATAACTGAAGTGAGTAATACAAAACAGTTTATTTGAACTCTCATTATGCAAAACTGCTTTTACAGAATCAATTCAAGCAGACTGACTGCATCTGATATTTATGCTAGTACATCTTTAAACTGTTGAAGTGAAATCTGTTATATTCAGTATTAAAACTCAACATCAGGAAATCTTCAAAGATACACAAAACACTCTTCAGGATTTATTTGCAAAACCAGGTAAGTATGTATGAATTTTTGTGTTTACAGTCGTTAAGGAATATTCATAACCGAGTGAAAGGTTTGGAAATAGTTTCTCAGAGCTACCATTTGTTTTAGAGCAGGTGGTGTGCATGTACGAACCTGTACCAGTACCTAATTCGTATTTTGCCAAGTGATGGTGTGTTATCTGATCCTCATAATATTAGGAAATGTACAAGATGGGTCAATGTTTTCAGTGTGACAGTGACACCTTCTGGACCTAGTGTGTTGGTGTGCAGGATTGTGTGTGACTGTGAGTAACTCATGCATTGCATTTGTTGATGGTTGACAAATCAAAATTGATAGAAATACATTGCAAGAGAGGGTTTGATTGGCTGCCATCTTGCAGGCCAGTGCTTTTGTTCCACAGGATATGCACAAAGGAGGTTTCCCTGTGGAACAAAACTGCTCTGCAAAATAGCTACTATGCAAAGCCTCTATTGTTGTAAATACATAGTACGTGTATGTACATTTTGCTTTGAATGTTCAAGTGAAAAGCAGGTCTGAAAGGCACGTGTGCATGCTCTTGGTATTTAAACTAGATACACAATGGTGGTACATGTACATGTATATTTCTGCCCCAAAACCCAGCCCATCTCTGGATCTGTGTTAGGAGCATTTTGTTTAACAAGTTCAAGTTTCACGCCACACTGCATTGCCATTTGCAGAATATCGGCCACTTAAGCTTCTCATTCAGAAATGAACTCGGATTTCCTAAACATAATTATCATCATTCAGTCTGACAATTATCTAAGGGTTGCTGTTAACATGATTAATTTAAACCCCCAAAGAGCCTCGTTTTATCGGCCCATTTCACAGCCAATAGGCTGTGCCATGCTCGATTGTTTTGAAACTTGGCATGCTTCTAAAATCACTCTTTATCCTTACAAATGTGAACTTTGCACTCAATCGGACCTTTGGCTTTGTCGTTACGGTCACCTGACGTTCAAGACCACGTGTGGCAGCCCGTGTGCACTGGGGACGGCGCTGGGAAAACGTACACATTTTGACCGACCTGTATTGGGAAAATGGGTGCTGCACAAGGACGATATGTTCGATATTCAAAAAAATTGGTGTCAAAATGACCGTACTCAGAAACATCTCGAGTACTCTAATCACAAAACCATCCAGTATGAACCACTGTGAACTGAAATTTGTACAGATTCCTCCAACGTAAGTACCGCATTGAGTGACTGCTTGTTTTGTGATGCTTGCCATAAATCATGGAAGTATCCTTTGTCCAGGAATTAAAAAAAAAAATCCAACGTATGGAAGCTGACTCAATGGATTCCAATTCCACAGGAATTCTATTGCATTCCATTTCTTGTGCACTTTTGATAGAAAAGGTTCTGTTTATCAAAGCCAGCAAGTGGCCTTGGTAGTTACGCAAGAATCCAACACTGCTGTGCTCTAATTGTGGGGTATTATTATTACCTATTGTGAAGATTTTGGAGTAAAGGTCTTCCATGCAAAATGAATAAAAAATGAATTGGAACCGCCAAGACATCTTTGCCAGTAATGGCCTGTACAGGGTCATGTTTTAATAGACCTAAGCCAAGTGCATTTTCAGTAATATCGAGATTGAAGTAAAAGAAATACGCCTAATGCATGATATGGTGAATGCAAATTTACCGTTCCTCATGTTCTCTGAATGACATAATATATGTCCCAAGATAATATATGTCCCAAGTAACTGCAGATACTGTAAAACTAGCCTCCTACAGCAAGTTTCTGATTCTGAGCGACTAATTTTATGGATGATACTGTAAATGCGCTGCACTATGACATACCCTGGATGTACTTGATAAGCCGGCAAAATTTCGATCAAATAAAAATAGTGTTGGGGGCGTAGGAATTTTTTAGAAATAAAAGAACGTGAAATATAGACCTTGTATACTTATTCTAACAAAATGAAACAAATGAACACGTTTTCGTCTCATTTTATCAGCGATAACAACACGCTAACCATGAGCCAAAAAAATAAACAAACACCAAAACACCCCAACAAACAAAAACCAACCTACCATTTGTCTCTTCGCATGAAAATGAATACTTGTTTCTCTCATTTTACAAGAAATAATAACACACATAAATCCGAGCATATCAAAAAACAAACAAACAAAAACAACAAAAGCCACCATCTCTCTGTTTGCAACCCTTACCAATTGGGGTTAAAAGAAAAGTGACAAAAATTAGTTTTATATATGAAATAAAGGATGTCAACACCTCTAAGAAGAAGACTGCCAGATGGCGTAAAGTCGTTTTATAAGACTACGTTTAATAAGTATCTTGTCGAACTGCCAGACAAACCTAAACATACGTTAAGATTACATCTCTGATACATACGTGCAGATCAAACCTGTCGAAGAATTCAACCCCCAATAGTACGAATACTAAAAAAATCGCTCCAAATCCGTTAGACGTCGTTGGCACAGGCAAAAACGGCTGTTTGCAAAGGAAAGACTGCATTAATGCAATCAAAGGGTACATCACACTATGTAGATTTGTTACAAAAGCCAACTTTAGAGCGAAATTAGGAAGCTTAAAGGCAACTTTAGAAACTGGAAACTTGTGCCTCAATTGTTTAACACAGATCCTCTGCAAGTTTATTATTTATGATGAGAAAACTTTGGGTTCATATCAAAATATCGCCTTTACAAAGTTTCTGTGGTATAAGTAGGGTATTATATGTCGACTACTTTCCACAAACACCTCGGTGACAAAATCATTCCGTTATCAAACAATACCATTCTTTGAGTCTGCATGAACACAACTGCTTGGAACAACCCTCTGATAAACACATTTTTGCACCAGCGACTTATAAAGTCTACTGGCCGTCATGGTTACCTGCTAAGAAACAATGAAAAATAAATGCTCTCAAGTAGTTAATGTCGACAACGACCAAGGAAAAGCCAACCTGAGAGATCGTTCCTTGAGCTGTAACCCCTTGGTAAAATAGGGCAAATTTCTGCTTCAAACGACCGCATGACTTCCGAGTTTTCTACACCGGACAAAATTTTGCTGTCGTCGTCGTGAGTCGGGTTATTCCCTTTCCACGTTGTAGAATTTGGCCAGAATGTATATTCTTGTCACTGCAGCATTATAATGTACATTATTCTTGTTTGTTTGTTTTCTGGAAACCGAGCAACGCGCCTGGAATGCAACCCGCAGCACATACGCAACAGTTTGGAAAGATTGTTTCATTGTTCAAAGGTCTGGATACCTCATTAAATATGCAGCGTGTGGTGGGCGCTTAGTCTAAACTTGAATATGCTGCGCCTATGTCTTTCTGTATGTAGAATTTATAAGTCGCTCGTGCGAAAATGTCTTTATCAGATGGGTTTTTCCAAGCAGTTGTGTTCATGCAGATAAAAGAACTGTATAGTTAGATAAACGAATTATTTTGTTTCCGGGGTGTCAGTGGAAAGTAGTCGAAATATAATAGCCTGCTTATAACACGGGAACTTTGTAAAATCTGTATTTTGATATGATCAAAAAGCTTTTTCATCGTTGGATATCTGGACACACAGAATGATATAGGCGCAGCATAACGACCGCTTTGTTTTCCATTTAAGTTAAGCGCACACCACGCGCTGCATATTTAATGAGGTATCCAGACCTTTGAACAATGAAACAATCTGCCGCGCGTTGCATTCCAGGCGCGTTGCTCGGTTTCTAGAAAACAAACAAGAATAATGTACATTATAATGCTGCAGTGCCAAGAAGATACATTCTGGCCAAGTTCTATATCCTGGAAAGGGAATAACCTGGCACACAGCGAGGACAGGAAACTTTTGTCTGGTTAAAAACTTGGAAGTCACGCGGTCGTTTGAAGCAGAAATTTCCCCTATTTTACAAAGGGGTTACAGCTCAAGGAACGATCTCTAAGGTTGGCTTTTCCTTGGTCGTTGTCGACATTTACTACTCGAGAGCATTTATTTTGCGTTGTTTCTTCAAAGGTAACCATGACGGCCTGTAGAATTTTAAGTCGCTGGTGCGAAAATGTCTTTATCAGAGGGTTGTTCCAAGCAGTTCTGTTCATGCATATTAATGTCCCCAATATGTTTATTCATTTAGGTTTCTCATTCAAAATGAGAAAAGATATTTTCACGACACTTCACATGCAAAGCAAGTTTTATACTCGGATAAACCCAATTAAAAGTATGTTTAATTATGCAAATGAGCGTTATGGACATCACAATCTTTACGTCGTGGCTTTTACAAAATGTACGTCATGGACTTTACACATTGGCTACGAACATTAAAAATACTTTGTTAAAACAACTGGCTAGTCCATTTTGCGAATGAGCGCCTCTTTGCAAGGTAGCGTTTTGTAGGACCTCATCTTGTGGATGACAAAGTTAGATGCATGTACATGTAAGCCAATAATTGAAGCTGTTTGGTAACGTAACAATCAGCCGTATTTATAGGCCTGTTTGTTTCAAATGAATCTGGATCCCCATCAGTGGTCCCAATTCTGGATCAAGCCATCCGTTGAACATCAACTTTTGGAGTAATTTTTGTTCATTTGAAGTCTGTCAATACTTGCAGATACTTCAAGAGATAAACACAATGTACAAAATCTATACAAATTTAACAGTGACTTATGTCTCCAATTTTAAAAAAAGTAACTTGAAAAATCTAAGAGCAAAGGTCAACAAATACAGACGTACTGTACACATAGGCCTATTATGCCTGCCCCTTTTGCTACATGTATTTGCATACTGCCAAAATTGTAGATATTAAATTCTGTAACATTTATCAATCGCTTTGTAATCTTATTTCACTACAGTAACGGGAAAAAAAATAAGGAAATGTCCTATGGAAGAAAACGTATTGAAAAAACAAAGATGCACAAAGAATTTCAAGCAAGATCTTAGGTAGCAATCACACACTGTCAAAATAATTCTGCAACTACACCGTGATGCTCATTTCCTAAAGGTCTATGGCTGTTCTTACCTGTTTATGCGTACATATATTTTTTTGTTCAGTTGGTCTAAATGCCACTGGGGAGGCATTCAAGGGTCTGAAAAGTCTTATATTTGACAAGTTGAAACCAGCAGACACCCAAGAAGAGTAAAGTTTAGGGGGGGGGAGTCTTGACTTTCCTTGTGTACGAAAAGTAAAAGGCTCATCTGAACAGTCCTCAATTCTCCAATTTCAATACAATTTTACATACACCCTAGTTACTGACTGGATGACAGGTACATATACTTGTAGGTAAAAAAAAATAATATTACATGTAATAATAAACAACAGAGGAGAGAAAGTAGGATAATCCTCTTGGAATTTCGCCCTGGATTGTATACACAATTGTACTAGTTTGGAAGTGTAATGTCCACAATGCAGAATGTAATGTCCATGACGCTTCAAGACTTACTTGTGTAACAAAAAAGTGGAGAGCCATTCAATTCAGTGTTAATGTTTTTTACGTTGACTGTTCCCTATGGTAGCTTACAGCATTAAAGTCAGTTGAAACAAAAAAATAAATAAATAAAAGATTCAGACTTCCCCACGTGTAATGTCCATGAGGCTTGTTTGTGGTAAATGCTAGTGACTAAATGTCACTTTATTGATGTTCATACTGTCTGTTAGGTACAACACTGCATATTACTAGAAATAAACAAGTAATCAAAGAGATGCAACTTCCAACTCAATTAAATCAATTAATTATGTTTAGAAACTCTTTCCAAATGCAATGTCCATGACGGTGGATTGCACATTACGGCAGGATCACACTGGTGGTCTTCATCAAAATGGCAGCCTGTCAGTTATGATTTTTCACATGTATCTTTACATGCATTTCTATGAAGTTACATGTGTTACACCTGTTTGATACATGTGCATGCAGCACCATGACAATCGAATGTAGTGGTTGTTTCCTTGCTTAACAATGTGGTTCGTAGACTGGTAAGCCAGGGGCCTGAGCACAACTTGACTGTATAGAGCTGATTCCAAGAACACAATGGCAGCCTTCCTATAGTCCTAGGCACCAGAGAATGATGATGGACATCCATGTACCACAAACAGACAGCTGCATGACTTGCCCACAGGACATGATTGTGATCATCTGCTTGATGTGTAGTCCAGCTGAGGTCTTATGAGGGCACAGTGCCTGCTAGATATCCTGGTAATATCGCTTCTTTAATGCCCGATACTTCCTCAGCATGTAAAGTGCCTCAAGTTCCTTTATGACATATTCTCCTCTTGCAATTAATTCCTGTATTTTCTGAGGATCTGTGACGTCTTTGTTTTTCATGAATGCTGAATGACACCTGTCTCGGAAGTACTTCTCTCCTTTTGGATAGTCACGGCCCAGGAAGATCAGCTGTTGAAACCATGATCAGAAAAAGAATATTTGATAACATGCAAGAACGTGAAACGGTATCTACTAAATGTGAAATGTGGCTCAGATTGAAGACAACAATTTAGAGACACTGATGGGGAGGGCACATTTGTAGTTGCAAACTCAACAATGTGCCCTTCCTATTTCTAAACTGGCCACAAATAAGTCAAATATGAATTTTCATATTAATATCTTAGCAATTTGGTCTTTTCAAATACATGTACAATTTTATTTGGATAACTTCTGATAATTGAATAACAAGTTGGTACATGTACTTACATTTTTATACAAAGATTTCACCACATGTCGTGTATTATTACACATGATGATTCACACGAGATTGCACCTGTGCTGGGGAAAAAAAAAAGTTACATTCCTGATTTGCTCCTGGTATATACATGTATGTACAAATTATCTGGTAACAGTGGATGTTTGGCAAATGATGTACAACTGAACACATGTACATGTTCTGTTCTTGAAGTAACCATGCAAAATTTCCAAATCAACAGGCAGTGCATAATTTGTGTTTTTGACAGGCCAGTACAATAAACAGTAAAAAACATTTCATCGTGGTAGTCTTTCACCAGCCAAAAGTAAGCATCACAAAGTTTTGGGCTTTTTATCAATTAGGCTTCACCACAAAAATTACCAAAAAATCATTCTAATACAATCGCTGCATGGCTACCGTCTAAAGAAATGTTTAGAAATGAGTGTGGAATATCTAACTCCCCTCCCTACAATGAGTAAAAATTGTCTTCACCTTTAGCCTGGCTCTTTGTCTGGGGCTATTTTATGTTGTAAGTCTGCCTCACCATTAGCCTGGCCCTTTGTCTATTTTAACTATAGATAAATATATGTCCCATTGGTATGTTGAGAAAAAGCTGGGCACAGGTTTGGGCATGTCTTGGGTGGACTACACTGAGCATGCACGTCCAATTTTGTAAAAATGTAGTCTTTGGATTTGCGTCAATTGCATGACGAAACCCAATTGACAAACTTTCCACCTCGGTGAGGGGTTACACTTCTGTCTGGTAGGGCCTGTACAATGGATAAACAATTTTCATTGAAATATCTCCTTTTTTTAAAACTTGTGTATTTCCACCTAGGTTTTCCCCCGGGTACTGATACATATATGTGAGGTGGTCAAACAAATTTTGCTAAAATTCTAGCGCCTATGGTGTTTCAAAAAGGCCTCAAACAAATTCTATGTAGTCTAATAGTACATTTACTCCCCTCTAAAATAAATCGATGTTGTATTCTGTGTCTCTCTTTAGCATTCAGAATGATTTAAAACTGTTCTATTTCAAAATACCGGTACCTGATTTCTTTCGCTTTTTCTTCCTTCTTTGTCTATATAAGAGTGAGATGGTAAATTCAACAGAAAAGCCTGAGGTGGTTACTCAAATCAGTGAGGTGGGCTGCCTCAAAAGTTGAACACATGTAGGTAGCTGTTGGAGCAACCCTGTTTCTGACTATCAAAACTATCAAATTGAAAGCAGCAATTTCATGTATATTTCAGGCCTCTAATGCCTCAGGGTTTTCGCTACAATATTTTGTAACCAACAGATATCACTCATATGAATACACACAACTGTGCAAAAACTGCACTATTAATTCATTCTGCTTGACTGCCCCATTCATGTTAGTGATTAGTACTTCTTGAAACCCCAACCATAGGAACAAAACTGAAGTGACACAGTTCATTAGACATATTTACCTTTATAATAAGGGGAACTCTGATTATCTCTGTAGTTATCTGAAAGAGGTTGGTTCCCACTTTCTTCAGTGTTACACCTATATGTATGTGCACACAATGGAAGAAGCCTGGTTCTGTCTGAAAACTACTCTGACCTCTCTGATAAATACATGTAACACACGTACATGTATGTATGTTTATTCCATAAAAACTAACCTCATCAAGACACACTTTCCACTGGTTTTCCACTGCTGTTCACCATCAAAACATCAAGATTTTACATGTACAAATGTCAACACAAAATGGGATACAGGTACACGCATGTATCTTTTTGAAAATGCCCATAAAACCTATGGTACAAGTAAAAATCATAAATTCATCAAATCATGATCCATCTTGATCATAACAAAATACTTGCCAACTGCCATTATGGATTGAGAAAAAGAAGCCATGATAAGCCTGGTTATGCTTTATTTATTGTTCATCCAACAGCTCATTTAGCGCCAATTACCAAATGAAGTGATAATTAAGAAGACAATGAAGAAATGTTCAGTTTTAGAGGTGGGAGGAAAACCCTGAATGAATATTCCGGGCAAATCCACGAAGTCAGGTATAGACTGAAGACCCCATCTACATGCTGGGGTAGGTGGGATTTGAACCAGGGTCGCAGAGATGGAAGGTGGGGAAAGAGCCACAACGCCAACCTGACTCCCTGTCAAATAACGCATCTTGGGAATGAGCAAAAATCCTATGAAAGACATTGGAGAAAAAGGGGGAAATCCAGATCCCACTTAATCCCAAATGTTCTTGTTCTGTCTCCCGCCAGCCAGATTTGCACAAAACAGACACCCCTTTAGCATAAAGGCAAGGTCCAAGTTGCCGTCCTCAAGGCAAATATGGCTGCTGATTTCGGAGCTGTTCAAAGGAGGCAATTTTTGTGAACTGAAAATGGCAATTTTCAAGAGTCCAAGCTTTTTTGGTTTTAATAGCCAAAATATCCTTTTGGTAAATACTTCACGGTTGAAAACCACTTCTTTTATTTTTGAACGAGTTTACGATGTGATGAGGGTGTGTTGAAGGTGTGTTGACAGTAGGCCTACCTTGCGTGTTGACAGAAATAAACATGATAACCACAAAATGGTGCAGAGTAATTGCACAGGCATGACAGGGAAAGGCTTTTTACATCTGAGTGTTGCTGATCTAGCCCTTTTCATCTATATATAAATGCAAGGTCCTGGAGACAGCATTCCTGTCAGGCCATTGCACTCATGAACGTGTCCTTGACTTGCATGTAAGCGTGCACACTTTGGCAAGACAGTACACCCTGGTCAGAGAGGAAAGAAACACACATACATGCATACCATCTTTGTCCAAACAGAATGGCCCGGCAGTAATGGCTTCTATTCTTGCCTGATTTACATTGTATGTTCCAGAGAATGTTCCAGAGAGGGCTGCATGTGACGAACCCCATGAGTTTAGGGGTACATGTACATCTATTTACAAAATTTGTTGCAGGTTGTCAATTTGCAATCATACATACATTTCTTTATGCTCATATTCCTCAGTTCAAATTGCGACAAACATTAGTGTGCACAAACGTAAATTGGCTTATAAAATTTGCACACTGAAAAAAACATTATGCAGAGTCCAACTTGCGCTCCACTTAACCACTTTTTATTGACTACTTTATTGTACATACCCTATTCCAGGAACTTTTGCAACCGGTGTTTAAAGCGAAATGAAAACAATGTTAAGCACTGTAACATAGTACTTGTTTTCACCACAAAAGGTTAAAAAAGCTCCCAGATATCACATACATGTACATGTAGAGTTCCCTCCCATGCTGATCTAGATTGCAAGTATTGATCAGATGTTGGTACACTGACACCAGAACCCACCTTATTCTGATCTCACTAATCACATACCATCAACACACCATCAGCATTCACAGTACCGTCAACACATCGTTAACACCTCTAAAACACATTCAAAATTAAATGCAGCAGTATTTGAACGTAAAGTATCAAAAGCACATTTGGCTAAACTAAAAAGGTTACTCTTGACAATTGCCATTTTCAGTTCACACAAAAAGCCTCCTCTGAATAGCTACGATGTTAACAGCCATGTTGCCACGAGGGCCATACCATTAGGCCTACACTGAAGGGTAATATATTCTACAATAAACCAACATATACCATGTCGAATTGGGAATTCACCCATTTCCTTAAAGACTTTCATGGGTTTTCGGTTATGTGATAATTTATTCATGCCTTTAAAGTTGAAAATTTGAAATGTGCCCATAGCTTTATTCTTTAATATTTCTGCCATACATGTACTGCTACAAACTACTTCTTCTAACAACCTAAATGGTACAGTCCAAGTTCCGATAAAGGCAAAATGGTAATCAACGGCTAATGTTACGCTGCTTAGAGTTAAATTTGTTTGTGAGAAAATACTCCATTTTCAAAACTGAAATGTATATGTATTGTAACCTCAATTTACTCACACACTGAACATTCTTGTTTTGCCCAGCGAGTTCTATGCACGCCTCTTTAGCTGATTTATACTGCATTTCAGATGTGTTGACTGTGACAGAAAACCACTTTACAGTCACATCGCCCCACTGCCACTTCGCCTCATTACCTTGTCATGATTACCACTTTGCCCCATTTCTGGGGTTCATTACCTTTAGTTGCCTGTTCCTATCATAAGGGAACAAATTCTACTTTTTTTCGAAATAGCTTACATCTAAACAAGCTGTTGGTGATGTCCTCTTTCATTACGGAGTCCAGCAAAACGGCAACCCTAAATGTTATATCTGAAAGCTTGTAAAATTGTTTGTTTTCAATCAATGATTTCTACCCTTTTTGCATCAAATCTACATTTTAAAAAGCAGTTGTGTTGTAAAATAACCGAAATTTGTGTTAGAACCATTTATTACATGTATGTCTGTTTGTGTCGAGTTTTGGGTGTAAAGTGTGATGAAACTAATGCAAGATCGGAGCCACTTACACCATGTCAGCAATTGTGTGCGGCCATCTTTGTTTATTGTCGTGTGACATACACGTAGTCTCGTTTATTAAAGCCAAATATCTCGTGAAACTCAACTGGGTTTGGAATGATGATGTCATCATCTTTGTAGAGCTTAAAATACTCTTTCATTTGATGTATGACTCAAGGCATTTGAATAAAGCACCGTAAACCCTTGTTTTGGTTTGTGAAGACTACAAAAAGGTAACAAAAAATGTGCATTTTTCTACTGACAATCCCCCAAAAACATGTTTAAGGAGTTAAAACATCTATGAAACAGTATTTATTTGTAAGCTTGACATTTCAGGAAGAAAAGGAAGTTGGTTTTGTCAAAAATTGATGTCTAACTGGTGCCAAACAGCCCTTTTCTATTGGGGTGCTGTCGCACAACTACAATGTGCATTAGATTGATGAATGGTGCACGGGGAGCAAGATGCAAATAACAAGTGCATAAACCACACGTTTCAATCAAATGTTATCAAAAGACGCTGTCAAACACGAACAGACTTAAAGGAACTTATGACACCTGACAGACTTCGTCCCCCATTTTTATAGCTATTTATTGATGACAAAGTATCACATCAAACTATGCTTCAGATGTTCAGTGATTTTTCACACATCACTAAAAATTTCAAGCCCAACTCCACTGTCCTGTTACTGTACACATGTACATGTATCCTGTGTTTATTATTGATAAAGTTCTCCATAATCAAAGATATTGTTTACTTTACACTTCCTCTGTGACTTAACCACAGATCTTTTTTTAACTCTGGCATGTCTGGAAATGGCTCTGATGAGGATCAAGACTCCATATGGTTCAAATGCCGGTACACTGATGAAAATAAAACTTGTGTCTACCCCCAAAAAGTGATGGACCTATACATGTACATGTAACACTTAATTTTAATCACAAATTCATAACTTCACTATACTTACAGCTACTGAGCTGAATTCTATACCATTTAATTTCTTTTGAAGTTCTCTTTCCAATGGTACTAGATTTGTGGGGGTCACCTGAAAAGTGCCAGACTCCCTACTTTCATATCCGAAAGAAAAGAGAACAGGGCTTTCAGTTTTTGAGAGAAATTTTGGGGTAAAACAGCAGTGTACATGACCACCCCAAATTTAAGAGCTGTGAACAAATAAGCAAATGTAGTCTGATTCCTTGATTTGGATGGAGATTTGTTTTGATAAATCCAAAAAGCCTGAGTCAGGTAACCAGACGAAACACAAAATGACGTGATTCGACTGAGTGGTTGTCTTTTGCCAAACTCGGGTCAGAAATTTTTAGTTTTCTTAAACCAGACCTACCAGGATTGAGTAATGGTTCCTTAAGGTCAAAATGAGAAAGTGGACTTTGTTTCCTTATTATAGGAACAGGGTGCTAAAGGTAATGTACCTCCAATTTCCACTTCACCCCATTGCCACTTTGCCGGAAAGTAAACCTTGCCTTACAAGTAAACCTGTAAACAGGGCCCAACGAATACTCCACTGACGTATACTGAACCCTGTCCCGATTCATAGGGATTTCTTTCGAAAAGTTTTATCACGGATATCCGGGGCATAATTAAACATCCGCTTGATTTTATGAGCTGAAATTGCACTGGTACGCTCACTACTTTACAGGGTAAACTTTCTGCTAGGTGGCTGATTGCAGAAAACTTGCCGTTTTCTCGTTCGGAGGAAAAAATGTTGCCTTTTTTGCCGTTTTCCCACTCTTGACGAATTTTGGCTTGACATCACATCGACATCTAAACGCACGTGGATAATCATGGCTGTTTTGTGTCGCAGCTAATGCGCAACGCCCTTGGCTGGTTCCCTGTCCAGTCACACACGGCTTGAGGCAAATCATTAGTAGCGTGGATCGCTCCTGTGACGTGACATGAAAGTGACGAAACAACCGTCAGTTTTGTCCAAGTGTGACAAAATTCGTCCGGAGTGGGAAAACGGCAAAAAAGGCAATACTTTTTTCTTCCGAACGAGAACAGGGCGAGCTTTCTGCAATTAGCCACCCAGCAGAAAGTTTACCCCATAAGCAGATAAGTAGTGAATGTATTGGTGCAATTTCAGCTAATAAAATCAAGCCGATGTTTAGTTATGCCCCTGGATAAAACTTTTCGAAAGAAATCCCTATGAATTGGGACAGGGCCCAGTATACGACAGTGGAGTATTCGTCGGGCCCTGTTTACGGGTCTACCTTACAAGTTACATGACATGCATGATGTGGGTCAATAAAGATATGTACAGAGTGAGTGACTCCATGGAATTACCATGGAGGAAGGAGGGGAATTACGAACCAGTTTGGGATCACTGATGATCAGAATCCAGTAGAATGATTTCACCAAACGCAGCGCGGCGCTGGCCAAGCCAGCTAGCTCACCACGCTATGCCTAACGTTAATGTCGAGTAATGGGCCGGATCGGAGTGGGGGAACTAGGCTAAATATCGGTCAGGGTAGACCTAAAACCCCAACATAATTTTTGCCTAGTCTTACCCCTGTTTACTGTCTTGGCGCAGTTATGTAAAACAGCCGATTGCTTTTCCTTCTGACGTTGTTCACGTCCATAAGCGCTTACAGTATCTCGTCAGTCAAGCCAATTTGGTCCAAGGGTCAAGTTTCATTAACGAAGATCTAGGCCTAGCGCCTCTCGGGTGTCAGTTACTTCGCCCCATTTCCACTTCGCCTGCACCTCTAACTATTTTGCCACATCGCCACTTCGCCCCATTCCCACTTCGCCCCATCCCACTTCTCCCCATTTCTTGTTCGCTCCATTTCCACTTCGCCCCACCGATTATCTTTCTTTTCTTTAGTAACAGAAGCAAGCATAGGCCTAGGATGGAACAAATAAAAACATCGACGTTTGAAGCAACCAAATAACGGTGGGAGAATCCAATCCTGACCAACCCTTATTTTTCGGCGAGACCCTAATATTTTTATTGGCAAGTTAGATAAAAACAAATTTAATAATATAAGAAAGACAAATAAATAATTCCTGTTGTCTTTTCTGTCTTTACCAACACCCCAGAACGACATTTTTCTCATTATAACGCCCGTGTTTTTATGTTTTCCAAGTTACATTTGCAAAATTTGAAAAGGAACTTCTGCTAATTTGTCAATTCTTATTCTGTAAACCATTTGCAATTATTTCAAATGGACATGTACAGTGTTTCTACATCTCTTCATTATGGAATTCCATATCTATCGTCGTGCGTCGTGCATGCGTCGCCCGTCGTCCGTTTTTTCTCGATTGCGCAGTGGTATACTTTTAACTTTGACCCTTGATCGTTTCACATGTCCATGTACTTGTTCGATCGATCCATTGTGCCTGACTCTCATTTTAGCAGTAGAACTAGAAGATGCATTCGTTTTAGCAGTTGCGCCGAACTCTACTTGAAAGGAAAAATAATATCCTTTCATTTTTAAAGACTGACATCGGTAACGTGACGTGTATATGAAATAATACCATTTTTGTTACATCGATAACTTAGTTACTCTTTACTCGTTAACGGCCTGACGTTAGACATATATTTCTGTCTGTCCCTGCACGATATCCCACAGAACTGAATGTAAATAATGAATTATTTACAATGCTTGATTCCTTAATATTTTTCATAATAGACAAACTGATTCAACATTATTTTGAGGGCGGGTATACCTATGATGAAATCTGCTGTATACTCCAAATTAGACATGACTTGAGTTGCAGGTAGGCTCACAGACGTCTTTTGAACAGTAATGTTACCTGGACNACCAATTGGTAATTGGTCCCTAACAATACATTTAACAAACAGTTTGTTATCCACAGCACTGTCTAGTATTTCTGGATTTCAAGGTGAAATTGAGAGGACAAAATGGAATATCTGTATCGGCTGGCAGATTTCTTTCTGGAATTTGATGAAAACAAGTCGGCACATTTTTACAGAATGCAAATTAGAATAAGACTTTGGATAAGTTGGCCAGAACATTTTTGCTGAAAATGTTTTTCCCCAAAACACTTGATTGAATTCTCAAAAAAGGTGATATTTTCTTGTCAAGGGGCGGGGGTAGTCTAGCATTATTGGCATTAATTATGGGACTAATATATGCTTTGCAGGTGGGATTTGTACTTGCCTATTAAGAAAAGACCCTTAAAAGTGAATGAAATCATCACATTGTCATATGTTAAACCCCGGCCGCTTTTGCAGGCCCTATGCAACCCACTTGATGGACGACGCACGACAGGCGACGCACGATGGACTACGCACGACGCACGACAGGCGACGCAAGACGGACGACGCACGACGGAAAGAGGCATGTTTGGAACTGGTAAATGGCAGAATTGGGACACAACAAAAAGTAAAAGGCGACGGACGGACGGCGACGGCAGATATGGAATTCCATACTTCATGGCCCCCACCTTTTTTCTCTATCTCCTTAATTGTGTATAATTCGTGCTTTTTCTTTCTAATGTATATTTTGCGTTTTTATGATCAATAAAACATAGAAAGAGGAAAAACTTGCTAATTTCACAAATTCTCTTCGTGTTTCGCTGTCGCTGTGGTAAAAACACGTGCGTGTACAAGCGCCGGTTTCAGCCGCGCCGCATCCCGCCATGCAAGAGAATGCGTGGGGCAAATGAGTGTGGTGACCATACATTTTATGAACGTCGCCTAACGCATCGAAAAAAAAAATCGATGTTGCAAGATTTCTTAAAGTTAATTCACAGAACTTAGTATCTTGTCTATGTGTGTATTTTCTGTGTTCATGAGTTTAATTCTAGGTTGTTTTGCCCGTACTTGAAGCGAGCAGCACAATGTTTCCACAAAATTTCCTGCCGCGGTGCTCCTCAGAGGTTTATCTGATCGCTGGGGCACAGTGGATACATTGACAATTACCAGATCGATGTGTACAGAACTGTGTATCGCTTTGAAATGAACTCGACGAGGATGAGAAATAAACCCTATGCTAGTTCAACCATGTACCATGAACAACGCAGGAGAGTTTTCTATATACATGTATAACTCCATCATGATATCGTTTAATGTGGAACTCCTCTCTCGACCATTTTTTGAAAAGGGTTGCTTGAAACACTCGAGCACGGACAGGCAAAGTGGAGATGGAGCGAAGTAGGATGGGGCGAATTGGAGATGGGGCGAAGTGGTTAGGGGCGATGTAGATGTGGGGCGAAGTGACAGTAAAGCGATCGAGTGGATCGTCAGTTCACCAGTATGGAATGCCAAAGAGGCAAAACTCTTCGAGGCAACACTGACATCGATCGTTCCTAGAACGCGACGATTGATCGATCGATCGTTCCAGTTTTGGAATCACTATGGTATGAGGCGCCCTTTATAACTTTATTAGTACATAGACGTAGAGTAGACTTATGATTAATAAAAACAAAATTAAACGAAATATTGTATATATGGCGAAACTATTATATTTAAGACGAAAATGTAATAAATTTAAAACGGAACTAATATATAAGACGAAAGATGTATAGGAGGAAACTAATAAATAAAGTACGGAACCAATCTATCTATAGGACAAAAGAACGTTTAAAGCACAATGGTGATGTACGTGTATATGGGACGGAAACTAATAAATATAAACATAGAACGAAATTAATAAACATAGAATGAAACTTTATAAGACGAAGCGCCGCCACCTCAACGCCAGACCGGTTGTGATAAGAGCAAAATGTAAAATACACAGAACGAAAACGTAATAGAAGGAAAACGAAAATATATAACACGAAGCGCCATCTATCGACTGGTTCGCGGACGTAGCTCCTAACCATGATGCAGCGTTTTTTCAATTGTTCCGAAGTGATGCAGAGCTTTCTCCATGGTTCCAAAATGTTTAGGACCATGCGGAACAATTGAGAAAGCCCCTCATCATGCCACACTATAACGGTGTCACTGCTGCAGTGGGTATAACATTAGGAGTAACCAGTAGCATAGCTAGGATTTTACTAGGGGGGAGGGGACAAAGGGGCACCAGGTTTCAGTGGTGTGGCTTTTGGGGTAAAGTTTTTGTTAGCCTTGTTCAGTATCCACTCGTCCATGGGGGGGGGGCACCTGGGGAATTTGTAGGTGGGGGGAATGTGCCCCCATGCCCTCCGTGGCTATGCCACTGGGAGTAACTAATTTATGGAAAGGAGGGTTTTGAAAGGGGTTGTCAACAACTTAACGCACACGACGAACGTTCACATTATTTGTCAATTCTCGAGCCTTATGGTTCAGGATCACAGCTCCACTTGTTTCGACAAATCTCCATGACAAGTAAAGTGTGGTGTTGTGACGTCCACCGTATCATCAAGAGTGTTGGGGGAAAGAGTTCCATAAAAGCTATACGAACAACACTAATTTTCCCTTAAGATGTTACAACAGCCGTCATAACTTGAGTGATTACATGTCCCATAAAGTGAAATTTAGCAAGTCTCGTATAGGTTTGAGCACAAGGGCATGAAGTGTTGTCCGTGTTATTACTCTTTTCTTGCTGGGTATGGCGCAAGCGGACCGACCGGTCGGTAGATGGCGCTTCATCTTATATGTTTTCCGTTTTCGTTCTTTACGTTTGCGTTCTAAATGTATTTTACATTTTGGTCTATATCACAACCGGTCTAGCGCCGACGTGGCGGCGCTTCGTCCAGTTTCGATATGCGTTCTATGTTTATTATTTTCTTTCAATATTTATTTCATCCTATATTGTAACGATTCCGGCTTGCCTTCAATATTAGGGGACTTCACTTAGGCAATTTCAAGTCGCCGTATCTACCGGAAACTTGGTACTGAGTTGAGTTGAATGTCAAGGAAATTTTTATTTAAAGGGGGAGACAAGAGAACGAAACCCTAATGAGGCGAACGGGTTACTCTCAACCTTAAAAACACTGTGTGATTTATTGCAGTCCTTGTACAATCATCAACATCCGGTAAACAGCACCCTCTATAACTTGGGTTCAAACTTGCAGTAGTCTCTTGTTTGTAACTACAATGGTAGCGTACGTAACACTTTTTGTCTAAAGCTGTATAAATGAAGTTTCGATGGCTGCTTTCGTAACAAGGGTCGCTTCCATAGTGCTTTGCCCTAAAATTATGTTTGTAATTTTGCCTGGTCTTGAAAGGTCTTGAACAGAGAGCTCCCAGTAGATAACCAGCCCAAGATTAAAGTTTGACATGGGCAAGCTTTATATAGCCGCAATCCGAACGCGCTGCATGCCCAGCTGTATGCGTGTATCTAACGCGTAGCACACTGATTGGTTCATTAAACAACCACGAAAGTCGGGAGTTAGTCAAACTGACCTACACTTCACATAATTCCCACTACTTACCCTCAAACCATGCTGTATTTGTATAATACTTACCATTCTAGTCGGCGGGTAGGCCCGTTCGGTGGCAGGAGATACGCGTTGAAGCTGACCGTGTACAGCCACCCATCGGGAAAACGGGCTGCCTCTTGCACTTATCGGAGGGTGATTCCATGGTCCAACTGATGCAGTTCATCGTGGCGGACCCGCCTCTTCTTACAAGCCTCTTTCCTCATCAGTTGAACTTCTGTCCCGGCAACTGACTGTGGCGGTCCGTTTCTCACGAAGTGGGTCTCTGTCTATTTCTGGAGTGGATGCATGCGCACTCATTCTTCTTTGGGACTTGGCCCACAGTCTGTGCCGATGTCGATGCCGTAGTCTTGTCTTGGTCCTGACGTCGCTTGATGTTGGGTGCTCACCTCTGTTTATTT